CCGTATTAGTATCATTACTTTTTATGACAATTTTCGTTCGAACTTTGCACGGACAAACATGTGATTGCAGATTTTGTTTGGATAATGTCACGATTAATGCAAACAGTGAGCGTCAATTTTCCCTTGCTAATCCATGTCGAGCAGGGACAGTAGCAGCCGTATCCTCTCTCAATGTACAATCAAAAGATGGATCAGGATTTCAAGTTTATACAATGGATGATCCATCAGTATCATCATACTATACTGCTGGATCAATCAACTCCACCGTTACGTGTTTTAATAAGGGCAGTGGTTTCAATGTTGGAGGTGTAAAATCACAAATTTATGTTGTTATAAGATGCAAAGAACTGTTTCGCTCATGTTCATTACACTATTCTATAAGTTTAACCTGCATACTCATCGCAACAACTTCAACTTATAGATCTACGCCCTCATCTACTGTTACACTCACAGCGAGTGCCAAGCCAGTAACGTCGCTATCACCTGTGTCAATACCCAACTGGGTCGGTATATTCAATATGGTACACAGATGTGATACAAAAACATGCTGCTGTCCTTCTGGACAAGCAACTCTATCACGCGCGAACAATAATTATCTTCGAGTACAATGTGGATTCGTTGGCCAATGTCCTTCAACAGCTTATCTTAATACTTTAATTCCAATGCCTAATAGTTTTCAAACTGACATAGAGTTTTTGGGCAATCCGATTCAGATCATGCTCAGCCAGGATAGTAGTACAATCGAGCTTCGCAATCCAATTTCTCCTGAATGTAGTGAAAGTGCCAGAAGAAATGATGCTATGTCCACAGCCATCATTAATTCTATGCTCATCGCTCTGCTAAGTGGCTTGGCTAGTCTCAAACAATTTGTCATGTGAGAACAATTCTGCGCTTAAAATATTTCTATAATTATATCTTCATATATGACTAAGATGGAAAAATAAGTATTCATATTTCCATCATTATCTTTTTATACCAGCTTGAATTATTTTTATTTGTAAGGTCGCTATTCGCTTTTCTCTATATTTCTTCTAATCAATAAATTTTACGTGCTATAAAGATAGTTATCTTTGATAAATAACCGAGCAATGTAGTAGTGATTTGAACAATGAATATGCTTTTCAGACTCTATTCTCTCGACGGATAGAGCGCTCATACGAAATAAATTAAAGTGCATTTATATCTGTATATTTGTATTTGCAGGTTTGCATCAGTCGTGAATATTTTGCTATAATATTACTACAACTAGTTTTGATCAACGTAAAAAGTTCTGCAAAGTCGGGTATACAAGAAAGCTTTTCGGATATTTAGCGATATTTTAGTTGACTGCTCATATAGTTAATCTCCAATATTTTCGCAGTGAAAATATTTCAAAAATCGATTTCGAAGAAGGTGTGGGTACTACATCAAGTATTGTTGCGTCAAAAACAACTGAATTTAATGAAGCTGTTGTAGTAAAAACAAATCTATTTTTTAGTTTGATTATATATAAAAGCATCTATTAAATAAAGGTGTGTAGGTATGAATAAATGAGATACATCCAACACCCATCTACTACAAATGCAAAAAATTGATACAAAGCTTGAATATTTATTAATTTAAAAAAAATGAAATTAAATCTTTATGCGAAAAGTGTTCCATCAGTAATAATCGTATTACTATCAATAGTATAATTTCCAAAACAGACATAGTTAAAATTTGCCATAACACTAGCATTAGTTTGACTAGCAAGAAAATTATCTAATGAACATAAACCATCTGTTCTTCCAGTTGAACATAATCCACCTCGGATTGTATCTAATGGTAAAATTCCATTATTTAATTTCATTCGTATGAATTTATATGGTTTTAATACAGGTGAAGATGAATATTCTGTATGTGATGAATTTATTGCTATTGGTACTGATGAAGTACATCCAATTTTTTCTATAATTAATCGAGCTGTAAATGGAGTCATACGTGATAGTCGATAATGTTGATTTGACGGAGGAGGAAATATTTTTGATAGATTTTCACGAAAATAATCAATTGATAAAGCTGTTAATACACTAGCAATAGTATTATCATGTGACATATCTAAATAAAATAATTGATCTAATGGAAATGTTATTTCTGATGAATCAAGTGTCGAATTAACAGAAGAATAACTTATATTAATTAATTGATGATTCAATCGTGCAATTAATTCTTGAACATATCCAATACCTTGAGCTCGACCAGTTTCATTTCCGTATGCATATGTATTATAATAAGCAAGATTTATTGCTTGTTCAAAACCACGCCATTCATTTATTGTAAATAATGAACAAAAATCACTTGAACCAAGTGCAACATATTCAGATACACATAAACGTTGCATAGCAAATACATCAATATGTGTAAAATTTAGATTTCAATTTGTATAAGAAGAAAAACGATTTGCTGCATTGGCGAGAACTGGAGCAAGATAAGCATACAGATCATCTGCATCGAGGTTAATATCTGATGGTATATATAAATTACGGCAAGCAAGTGCACCATTGAGCGTATTATTACCTCCATCATCGTAAGAAAGCTTTAGAAGTGAATATTTATCTGTTGTATTATATGGACCAAAAAATCCTGAAGTCCAAGCAAGTACAGTTTCGTAATTTCGTTGTACGTTGCTAGTACGTACTAGGGGTTTTATTTGATTAGTTGCATTGTAATAGGGTTGACCAGGTTGAGCATTGTATAAAATACGTCCATATTCATTCCAAAAATTTACTCCAGATTTATATCCATCAGCAGCACCACTTGGTACAAGTAGTTCTTCGCCTAATTGTAACGACCAAGTTTTAAGAAATGAAAGTTGACCTTGAAAACTATTACGATTAGTAGAAAGAATTTTTGTCGCAAAGTTTTGAATATTTTCACCATCGAATGCAGCTGATGTAGGATAACGAGAACCATGTCGATGTAATATATGAACTTGTTCGACTTGACATTCATCAGGTAAACCTGTATCTAACACACCAAAGACTGTAGGTACATTATCTTTGTATGAACGAATATTAGCCCAATATTCCGATATTTTTGTAATATCGCCTGTTATTTCATCATCAGAGATAGGCGATGTACTACTTTCTATAAGAAATTTATTATATAAGTATTATAGATATTATTTCGATAGAATACATACGTAGAGTAATTAATAATGATACAAATTTAGTACGAGCTAAAATAAGTATTTTAATTTGACATCTAATTGTACATGTTCTATGAAATACTAATTCATAAATCACATTTAATCCATTATTTGCAGTATTTGTTTGACGTCGTTTTCTCTATTAATTTATAATAATAATAGTTAATATAATCCTACTATAAAATACAATCTAACTGCAGTAGCTTCTCAATCATAAGTAATTTTACATATTTTTTAAGCAACAGTTTCTATCGATTTTCAACTTCCTTCTATCTTGTTATAATAGAGCGTTACTTTTGCACTTTTCTCTCTTTGAACATCATACATACTCGTGAAAATGTTGTGACCGTAGCATTGACAATACGAATAGTTGATGAACCAAAAGCTGTTTGATCACTTGATAAAGCTTTTTGCATCTATATTCAAGAGTAACATCTATTACAACTAGTTATAGATGATTACTAACCTGATTTTGAACCATATTTTGATTTGAAATATCAAGTGTAGTTCCGGATAGCAGATTAGTATTTGAAGATAATTGAAGTAAAATATTTTGTGGTTTACTAGTCGGTGATAAAGCTTCATAGAACGATCGAGTTGGTAAATAAGTTGGAATTAGTGAAAGTACAATTGTAGATCCAAGCAGAAATAAGATGAGACCAAAACAGCACATAAGAATCAAAGGATTTGTATATTCCCATGATCTTAATAACAAATAAATAAATAATAATTATTAGATATTCAAAAACGAGTTTTTCTTATCATGATAAATCGTAAAATATTGATGACTCATCGTTACGTGACGAATAAGTTCAATAATAACTATCATCACAGATTCAAAAAAATACCAACGATTCAATTATAAGAACTATGACTTTATAACAATAGAATGTATTGATTCCCAATGACTTTTCGTATAAATCTGACGGTTAGAATAATCAGTTAAAACTCTCTCATTCTTGTCTTTTCACAATTAGTAGAACTGTAGTAATACAATACTTACTTCATGTAAGAATGAAAAACGTTCGTTTTCAATGTCTCGTACAGATTAACAGCATAAGTAAATAAGTACGTAAATACTTTATTTTAAAAAATATAAAAATGTACTTTTTTGATCTGTACATTGTCTTCTTCTAAACTGTCACGTTAAAATACATGTATAAAAGAAAAAAAAAATATCAAGGACAAAGCGAAGAATACATATATATGACTATATCGACGTATTCATCAATCTTCTTTGTATTGATAGTCAATCTTGATTGACTGATACATCGAAAATATTTAGACTTGTGTAATGAGATTGAGTCGATAAATATCCAAATTAGAATAAAATATCAACAACAAACTCTTACGAAAATATTCACAGATTCTATCTATAATAATTCGCAAACATTCCATATGATTTTATTTCGTCTCTATTTACTTACCGAACTGTATTCGATAAAGCCTTCATTTGATTTGTGTCTACCACATGTTATTTCTATCTGACTGTATACAGGTATAATATTAGTAATGATTCATTTGTTTAAATAATAACGAATCAAAAAAAAAATGAACGCGCTTTTTTTTATTTTAAATTATGGAAAATTGTTTGTTTTGTTCTTTTAATTATATTTCGACGTTTATTTTGGTGATTCAAAATCTAAAGATACTCGTTCATTATCTCGAACACGTCATATAAATAACGTAATACAATATTGAATTAGTTAATGAACAAATACAGATATTACATTTTAATCGACAAGTAACTGATAGTTTAAATATTGGTCAATAACATTTAAAACATACACACAAATTAATGCCACCAAAAAAAAATTAAAGATATTATTGATGATATAACAGAACAAATGGAAATATCGAATGATATTAATGATTTAAATACAATAGATGTTGATCTTGAAAATGAATTAAATATTTTAGATAATAAAATTCGAAAAGAAAATATGATTCAAATCAATTTACCAAATGCACATTCAGAAAAATTCAAATATCATCAACGAATGATGTTGATAAGCAATTAGCAGAATTACAACGTCAGTTCACTTCTTGAAACAAAATTAGGTTTATTAGTCGATGTCATACTTTGAAAATGTTTTTCCCGTTATATATGATAAGGAAGAAAAACATTATTATTTTGTAGATAGCAAAGGAAACCTTCAATAATCCTTACAATAATATTCAAACATAAAATAATTATCTAAAGCAACATGCGGTGCACAGTTTCAAAAGATATTTATGCTTATTCATAAAAAGTTCCATTCATAATCAAAAGTCTCTTTCATCGATGACCTACGCATAAGAAAAAGTAATTTTGTTATTAAAAATCATTTGTATGGAAACTAGAACATATTAAATATGTATTTTCTTGAACTATTATCATCTCTATGGATGCTTTTATGTAGTATTTTCGGTATTATCTGTGCCATGACCTTTATTGTTATCGTTGCTTCTCATCGTCAATTTCATACATTAACTATCATGCTTGCTTTGAATTCAACCATTGCTGGTATTATTGTCAATATTACTTGTTTTTGTCAAGCAATCTATCAGTTGACAAGTGATGGTAATGATAAATTATGTTCACTTCGAGGTTTTCTTCTTCATGCTGGTGCTGGTCTCTTGTATCAAACACTTTGTGTTCAAGCACTTCATCGTCTTTTTGTAGTTGTGTTTGCCACACGACGTTATCTCCGATCAACAAAAGTCATGGCATCTATTACGATCATTCAATGGTTGATTTCGATGACATTTGGTATTCCTGCGTTAATGATTGGACGAATCGTATATCAATCGGGTAGTCGCATTTGTCAGGTAGATTTCTTTAATAAAGATTTCTAATTCTTGTTTATTTTTATCTTAGGCATCATTGAACGATCTAATTATCTTTTTATATTTGTCAATGTTTATCTATTTCTGTCCAATTACTATCATTGTTCTAATCTATATTCGAATTGTTCATTTTACAAAACAACATACTTTTACAACAAATATTCAACATAGTGCAGCTAATCGGCATCGACAACGTCGTGAGCTTCGTTTTATTCGCCGTCTTCTTATCATTGTTGCTGTTGTATTCTTTATGAGTTTTCCATATTTGATTTTCTTTCTTCGAGCACAATTTTTTCCTCATGCAGAATCATTACCTTATGCACAACGAGTCAGTTTTGTCTCACTTTCATTCGGATTCAGTATATGGATGTTGCTTAACTTGATTTTTACAGATAAAGTAAGAAAACATTTAATCAAGATAATACAAGCCTTGTCATCAAGACAAAGAGCTCCACGAATTCAACCTCAGAATACCATCGATCAAACTATCACTGCACGAATCACACAGAAATGATTAAGTTTTATTTTTACTTACAATGACAATTACATTGTCTATTTCTAAAAAGATACACTAATATGATCAAGTGTATAAACTATAAAGAAAAATAATCATTCAATAAATAAAATCAAAGAAAATTTATCAGTAAGATCAAGATGCGTCCAAATAATCGTCACCAATTATGTGTCATTTCATTCGTAATTTTTAATATTCAAACGAATGAAACAAAGTCACACATAATCCTTGGTGACAATCGGACATATCACACTTGCTCAGAAGCACTTACTGAATAGAAAGTGATGGTAGAGCTGCTTTATAGTGTGATATGATCTGAAAGTCGATGTATAGATTCTCAAACTTAAAAGTTTGAGAAATTACGAAGAAAGCTTGGAGGATAAGACCGGAATCGAACCGATATCACTCGAACGACATTCGAGTATGCTACCATTGCACCACTTGCCGAAGAAATAAATCAAGCATGTGCTCCTTTTATAGTATTGCACAGGATGATGCAATCATTGCATAAAAGGTGATGCAAGAAAAAGTCAGTAAAGGTAGGTACGTCAGAAGAGTGACGTCATTACTAGCTTGCATCATCATTTAATAACGAAAAAAAAAATATTCTTTTCGCATTATTTCTTATGATTAAAATCTGTAATTAATTCAAAATAACAAATAAAAACTTTAGTATTATATAATAGTATGTTTTCTTGTTTATTGCAAAAAGCTAGAATTCAAAAATGAAATAGTTCATTAATATATATCAATATTACCACCATAAATGTATATCAGTATTGATTTTTTTTAATTTATAATCAGTAAGTAATGTCTCAGATTCGATCAATGTTTTCAATGTTGTAAGAAAAAATGGACACGTCGATACAAGACGTATTAAGCACAAATGACTCGTATTTTCATTTCTTTTCTTCAATAGAAATCGTACTATTGATTCTAAATCCTCCGTATCATGACCTATTGTTAAATGTTGAATTCGAGAACATAAAGCAACAAATAGTTGAAGTTTATTTAATGTACATCCTTGTTTAAACGTCACATTTGTAATCATATTTGTATTGGATACTAATTGAAAAGTTTGATTTTGTTGAATAGATTTATAATTAACCCCATAAAGTGGCATAGATTCGAATATTAATGTACGAATATGGGGTGTAAAGCGTAATACTTCAATTATTTTTGTCAAGGAAAAAGAACGAGATTTAATAACTAATTTAGTCAGTTGTTTCAAAGGAATAATGTGATTGAGATTGATTGTGATTAATTTACGGGTACACGAAAGACTATTTTCAAGAGTAAGCGTAGTTACATTTGGAAAATAATATGTACAGTCTATTATTTGATTTTCATTGTCAATTCGAAGATGTTGAACAGATTGCAAATGAGTTTTCTTCGAATTTAAACAAGTTGATGGATGAATTTGCTTACATAATATATAATATTTTCTTCTAAAAAGTGAAAGTAATACACATATAGTACAATTCAAAATCTAGTTTATCAATACCTATATGGATCTATTGAACAAAAGATTGTACAATTTCTATCGCGTTCTTGAATAAATTGTTGTGTAAAAAACCATTGTCGTTCGCTCCAAAATGAAGATGTAAACTTATCAGTTGGAGTATTCAATATCATTTGATTATTAGTAGTAATATTTCTCGACCAAGTTTCATGTCGAATATCGAATATACGTAAATTTCGCATATAAGATAATATCAATTGTTCCCATCTATTAGCGTTTATATACATTTGATCATTATTATTACGTATGAAAATATGTAAAACGTGTACTACATGAAAAATATCAATAATCATTTCTTCGAATACAGCAAAGCTTATGGAGCTTAGATCTAGTGAAACATGCGTTAAATAAGGTAATACAAATGGAGATAGTTTCATATATGTCGTCCACGAGTTGAGTATATAACAAACATATAGACGACGAAGTTGAGGAATATACGATAATAAATTGTAAAGTTCATTGGTGGAAATACCGTGGTTGATGATTAAATGCTCGATAGTACTGTATTTATCGAGTATCGGTAATGGTACTTCACTGTAATGTGATCCCTTCAATGATAAGCTGCAATATTTCAATGCAGGCAGACGAATTATTTGAGAATAGATAGCAGTCCTATTTACAATAATGTCTATGGATGTGATCGATAATGAAGAGAGGCGTGGTAAAGAAACTAATGTAGGAAGGAGATATTCAAGATGTTTTGATTCTATATTATGAAGACTGAGTGTTTTGAGATGAAGAAACTGGGATAGAATATGAATTGGCGAAGAAATATCATCATATAAACACGGATTTGATAAATGAAGTGAATGAATTCGGTGTTTATTCGGTAGAATAATATCTTTATTGTATCGTTGAAATGTCGATTTTGATATAGATGAAAGATTGACTTCAATTGGAAGAGTTGTATTCGTTATAAGATTATAAAATCGTGCATTAAGTGAATCAAAAGCTTGATAAACATGATGAAAATCTAATAAATCAAATATTTCATAGATTAATTCATTAGAAAGATCTTCAAAACATGTGATGAATTATTTCAATGAACTAAAAAAACAAGAACATTTATTTTAACGAATATTTTCGGTTGACCCCCCAATTTGCTTCAACTGGAAAAAAAATAGAAATTATAGAAAAAGAATTACTTTTGTATTTTATTTTGGATCTTCTGTTTTTTATTATTAGCATAAATATTCGTACTGTTACTTCGTTCACGTTTTATTTGTTCCATATATAAATATTCTCAAGATTATAAATCGATAATAAAGCGTCTTTTATTCAAAAAATGAAAGAATGTAATGTTTATATATGTGCAGATTTCATGAGTCATCTCGATAGAAAAATAAATGGGTTTTTTTATTTTTGAAGGTGAGTCATACAGAACAGTAAAAAATTGAAACTTTCCATATTAGATTCTATAATTCTGTATTAAATAAATATTTTTCATATATATTAGCGGTTTCATTATAAATTTTAAGAATAAATAATATTAAATAAGACAATACATTTGACTTTGCATGATCAGATGAATATTAGTTTAGGAGATTCAAACTTCTTACGCATGTACTCATATGATGCATTAATTAAAACGTTCAGGGTGTAGGTAGGAGCGGTTGTAGATTCATATTTTCTTTCCCTTCACTCACACCCATGTGCCTAGTCTAACCAGTCATTGCTACTATTATTTGACCACGCAATATGATTTCATTCCTATTTTCAAATGAAATCGATATTCACATTTTTCATGTTCGTGTAGAAAAGACACACGCAATCATTTAGAAAGAACAGCAATATCCACGTTATATTTATAGTCCGCTATCTATCCACATTAAAAAAAATTATAACATCATTTCGTTTTCTTTTTTTCGTATTGATTAGATAGAAGACGAAGAGTCATATGAGAAGAAAACAATATCACATAGATTGCAAAGTTATTATACAATAAATAAACTTCTATTTATTACTCTCATATATACCAATAATTCTATCTTAACATAAAGTAAATAACTTTCCGTTATAAACTATAAATTTAGAATGATTTATTATGAATTGTTTCAAGCTACAATAGTCTGTAATACATAGAGGATTGTTCGATTTAAAAAAAAATGAATTATTCATCGGCGGTTGATGTTAATTCATCGCCAACCGAGATTGTAGGCTCTGATGGATGCTGAGGTCGATCTTGACCAGGTGGATGCACCTCCATTGCACCTGTAATAAAGGAAATCTTGGCAAATTTATTGTCGGGTACAGCAATCTGAAATATTCGTATGAAACAAGTGATTAATACAATATCGAATGATTTCTTTTACCTTGTAATCATGAATTGTACCACAAGCCTCAATGTGACGAGCAGTCACTGGTTTCAATTCAAAATTAGCCGGAATCGACGAATGTTTCTTTCGAACTTCACTTTCAATACTTTTCTTGTGCTAAAAAAAGATTGATTTACAAATAAAGAATATAAATGCAGTGATTTACTTTGTTAAACAATTCCAAGTCTGTATCGACTACCGGCTTGTAAGAAAATCGATCATCGCCCATTTAAAAAAAATTTCTGTGTCAATTGAATACTATAAGCAAAGAAAAAAGAATGCTTCGATATTTATTTACAGGTACATCGATTTTTCTCTCTCATTTTTTTTCTCTCGCCAAATTGATGTTGTCGCTTTTACCTATACAGTTTCATATAAGCATAAACAAAATATATTTTCACACACTCCATTAGTATTCTATTTAAAACTTTATCCAATACATTTATTTTGCTAGTAAGGAGCGTGAATAAGCCAAATAATTTCATACGACGCAATTACTTTGTCAGTCATAGGCATGAGTTAGAAAAATATATGTGTCCTTGATACATTCATTTGACTAAATCTTTTTCTTTTTCCGCTAATGAGTGGTAAAATACATCGATTTCGAATGTTTGATTGCAAATTATCCGAAATAAAAATACTGAATAACAAAACGTTGAAGAAATAAAAACATCGAATATCGTGTTTTTTCAACAGCTAACTCTAAAGAATATTCTTGAATTTCACTACTTTTTAAGCTTGTCTTACATGTATTGACAGATCGATAATTTGAGAGAAAAGTCGACGAGCAAAAATAGAAACAATAATCAAGCTCGTGATGAAAGAAGAAAAAAAAGAAAAACTACATTGTAGCAATCTGGTGTTGCATACCCTACAATTTTCTTTCCTTCATATGTATTCTATCTACAAGTGAATACTAATACTTTTTATTTTTCTCTTCTCATATATACACGTGGTTATCTTACGCTTATCGTTCTTTTTTCACAGATGCATAGCATTTATTTTTCCTTCTTTCTATATTTTGAATAAGATATGATAATCAATTAATAGGCTTTATATGACTCATACTTTGTCTTTACTACAGATGAGAAACTTTTTTGATATCTTATAATTTCGATATTCTTTATCTTCGATATTTTGAATTTCGACGCTTTATAATCTAACGTTTAGAGTAGGCACTCAGAACAAAATTTAATAAGAAAAAATTGTTGTTGAACCAAGCAGCGACCATCAGAGTTACTTGTTTTTTTTGTGCATTATTTTTATTGAAATTATTTATAGAAGAAAAGCTTCCATTATATTACCAAATAAACTTGTCATAGAATCAAGTTCGTGAGTGAAAAGAAAAGAGATTGTGTATTATTTTGTAATTCATCTATAATGAACTATTTATGACTCTTTTATATCGATTAATTTCATATTCTCTGTAAGCAAATGGCCTAGAATAACAAAAAATATTGATGATCATCAAGAGCACAAACATTCTTTTAGCTTTGATCAATAGTCAATGCGACATATTTATTTCATTTTAAATCGATCATGGAATATTGATTGTATGTCAACATTTGTTAGTAATAAAGTAACTAAAAGAGAAAAAAATTCGATTAGAAGAAATAGTTTTCATTTTGTATTTTTTAACGATACAAACGACAAGCAAAAATAATGTTTGGCAACCAAGGATTTGGTATGTAACTAAATTGTAAAAATCAGGAAAAAAAAGAAATAATTCTGAATTTGAATATATCCCTATTCTTTTTTGTAAGGAGAATACCCATCAAAATACAAGATATATGTTATGCACTGCACTTGTATCTTCGAAAATTCTTATAATTTTGCAGAGTATGTTATGAAGTAAAATTCAGTACACGAAAAACGAACTGGAGACATATTTAGTCTGTCAGAGATAACTACGAGATCTTGTCGATGTGCAGAGTAAATTCGTCATACCTTTCTAATAAATTTTCTTTTTCAATATTTTGAGTTACTTGTTTTTTCTGCACGGATGACAGCGAATGAAATAGATAGCTATAAGCCTGTATTTTATGCCGGTCCGTTATCTAAAGCCTTTTTTTCAAAATGCTTCCTTCTTTTGAGAAAATTTCTAGTTTATCTGTTTGTTTCTTTATGTTCTTTAAAATAATATGGAAGTCAACCAACAAACAATATATATTATTCTATAGGAATGAGTGGATTTGGTGGACCTGGTGGAGGTGCTGGAGCTGAAGGATTTGGTGGTCATGGTGGAATGAGTGGAAATGGCGTTATTACTGGTGCGGAAGCGAAGAAATGGAAACAAGATGCACAGTATGCCTTTAGTAAACCTAAGCAAGTTTCTCTTTTAACAGACTGGCTCGGTTTTCGACAAATCGATTTAGCTGGTGCAGAATGGATTATGAATTCTACTGATCAATCAAATCAATGTGAAGTAGCTCGATTACTTGCAAGACAGTGTACGGAAGACAGAGCCAAAGTCAAAGCTCAATTTCGTAATCATATGCACAGCGATAATTGGATAACAGTATTTGGCAAATAACTTCTAAAATTTTCAAAATTAAAAAAAAACTACTATTCTTAACTAGAAAGGAACAATAATGATTTACCAATTATATTTTTTCTTCTATATATTGCGTAAGAGGGAATGTTACAAATAGATATATTACAAACATTAGATGTATCCACATCGATCATTTCTTATTTATTTTTCACTCCTATCTTGATATTGTTTAAAACTATGATAAAATGATGTCGTTCAATTCGTCACTGCTAATTTGCACAATAATTATATATTATTAATAGAAACGATTGAGTAGGCTTTTAAACCCTTTGAATTATGAAAACAAAGACATGTCGCGAAAATTTTATACATATTTTATGTTATTATTTAAATTTAAAATATTCCAGAAAATATCTTTTTGATCATAGCAAATGCTACAGTCCATTGTTGTTTTGTTTCCGGTGGACTTAATTTCGGATTGGGTCTTGCTCGTCGTTGTTTCTCAAACATTTGCACTCCATATTGCTGTTCTCTAACTATGAGCATAAATTCTTTTCGGGCGTCTTTGTTTTGATCTAAGATCTGTACATGTGGATGACGTTTTGTTGTCGTAGTTGACATGCTGTTTATTGTTGAATGATGAAAAATAGTGAGAGGCTGCTTTTTATGTCTACGATAAAACAGAATGACGCACTGTCGATGACGAGAACAATGGTCGTACGTCATTTTCTGTAGATTTTGTCAACAACATTCATGAAGCGAGTCATATAATGTTGGTTATTACCTACTATTGTAATTGTAATGCACACCTTGTATGCTATGAATGACGCGCTTGTTCTTTCACACCAAAAAACTGAAGGGAATAAAGCATGAGTTACCTGTATTCAAATCTAGAAGAAGCATTTACATACAATGCTATTTGCTCATTACATACCATACTTGCAAGGCAACCAGTCTTACACGTCGCCGAGAGAGAACAGAAAAAAAGAGCTTTTTTTCTATCTTATCTCACCGTTAGTAACGAAAGAGCGTGTGAGTGAAGATGGGTATAGGTATAAAGCTGTAACAAGCTGCCATGACACATGTTCCAAACTTATTGAATGTGGGTGATATATTTACTTTATTTTATCCCCATACCCACACCGTTTGTATGCACTTAGCTCAGCGTACATGTAGTTTTTCAAATAAAGTGACAACTTGCTTATTTGTTAGTGAAAAATAATCATTAGATAAATTGATGACCAGTCATCGAGACCAATTGATCTAATGTTAGATAGATGAAGACCGTTACAAAGGTAAAGATGAACGATAAGGAAAGAAAAATGTCTTATCATCATTCTATATAAGTGTGTAGAAAAGAAATCTTTTGTTTTATTTTCTTCACGTGTTACAATGGTTCCGATATGGATTGGTATTATTATGATTATATGGCTTCTTTTCAAAATTGTTGATTCAACTGATATACCAAAACTTCGTGGTCTTCCCGAAGCTAGCGGTTGGCCAATATTTGGATGTTTATTTCAACTAGGAACGAATCATTCTCTTGCTCTATCCAAGCTAGGCAAAAAACTTGGTCCAGTCTTTCAGATGCGTCTAGGAAATAAACGAATTGTTATTGCAAATTCTTTCGATTCTATTCGTGGATTATGGATACGAAATCAATCATCTTTAATTAGTCGTCCGTTACTACATACATTTCATACTGTTGTTAGTAGTAGTCAAGGATTTACTATCGGTACATCTCCATGGGATGAATCATGTAAACGTCGTCGAAAAGCAGCAGCAACAGCATTGAATAAACCAGCAGTTCAATCCTATATGCCCATCATCGATGTAGAATCTTATTCTGCTATTAAAGATATTTTTCAAGAATGTAAAGATGGACAAATGGATATTAGTATTATTCCTCATCTTCAACGATTTGCTTTGAATACTTCATTGATGTTAAATTATGGAACACGATTTACCTCGTCTGATGATAAACTTTTAAAAGAAATTTGTAATGTTGAAGCAGCAATATCACGATTTCGTTCGACTTCTAATAATTGGCAAGATTATGTTCCACTTCTTCGTCTATTTCCAGCAAAATCCAAGGAAGCAAATAAATTTCGTCTTCGTCGTGATCATTATCTAAACATTCTTCTCGATGGATTAAAACAAGACATTACGAACGGAACAGATAAGCCATGTATTACTGGAAATATTCTCAAAGATCCTTCTGCACAATTAAATGAAGCAGAAATCAAAAGTATTTGTTTAACAATGGTTAGTGCTGGTCTTGATACTATTCCTGCAAATATTATATTCGGAATTGGTTATCTATCTTCATCCCATGGTCAAGAGATTCAGCAACGAGCATATGAAGAAATTCAAGATATTTATCCCGATGACGATGCATGGGAAAGATGTTTAGTTGAAGAACGTGTACCATATGTTACTGCATTTTATAAAGAAGTTCTTCGATATTTTACAGTAATTCCAATGTGTCTTCCACGGCGAAGTATTCACGATATTGAATACAATGGAGTAATGATTCCTACAGGAACTCTATTCTATATGAATGCATTTGGCGGTGATTATGATGAAGAGCATTTTGAAAATCCGGAAATATTTAATCCAGAACGATATTTAGGTGATGTAGAAGGTACACAACATTTTGCTTATGGAGCTGGAAGTCGAATGTGTGCTGGAGCACATTTAGCTAATCGAGAATTATTTACATTTTTTATTCGATTGATTACAGCATTTCGAATTTTACCACCGAAAGATGAAAACTATGCAGCAGCAACAGATGCAATGGAAGCAAATCAATATCATACAGCTCTTGTAGCAGAACCAAAAATATTTAAATGTCGGTTTGAACCGAGAAATAAGGAACTATTGGCAGCTTGGCTTGAAAGTACTCGACAACGAACAGAAGACGATTGATATTCTTATCTGTAGAAACTATTAGCTCGAAAAAATTCTTTGAACTTCTTATTTGTTTATTTTCTATTATCAATTAAAAACATACAGAATGAAGAAAATGTGGATGAGAGATCTTCTTCTCCCACATCCACCACTTATCTACACCCTCAAGATCAAATAATAATAATATTTTTTGCTATACATTATACATGTCGGCTTAATGCTATTATAGCAAGAAAATGAATAATACTCACTTAAAAAAGAAATTCGAAAGACCTAGCACGTTATAAAATTCTTTTAATATAATTTATTTATTTGTTTAATTTTTCTGTTTACATTAAAAAGTTGATTCCACGGTTGGATTTATTCTAAGTATCTCATAACGAACACGTGGAAGCAACAAAAGAAAAAATAAGCTTAAACAATGATAATTTTTTAGAATGTTTTTTTACCTCATCAATAGACGATGAAAGAAAAGAAAAATATCGAATGACAATTATGGCTACATACGTGGAGTATTATTATGAAAAATGTAAGTTACAGGTATACTTTGTTTTTTAAATTTCAGATGCACCCTCGATGATACGGCATGCACATTAAATCCATTTTTTTCACAATAAAAGGACGATGAAGCATGAAAAATTTCACATTATAATACAGGTAGCAATTAATTATAAGTAAGAACGAGCGAGGAAAAAAATGTACATATATTTCACTATTATTACACCATATTTATTATAATTGGGTATTTTTCTTTCGATTTGCTTATCTTCATATATATCAATGGCAAGTAACAATACAATAAATGATGATTTCGTTCGCAATTTAATTGGAGATTGGTATTTTAATGAATTTTGGCATACTACAACACGACCAAATGAAGCAATGCATTTAGAATATACCAAAGCCTTAATGAATTTAGCAGCAGCGGATGGTGTCTTAGCTGAAGAAGAACGACAATGGATCTTAGGTAATACAGCAGCAAAAGGTGCTACGAATAAAATAATCGAGTATGTGAAAACATATACACCAACCAAAGCTGATCTTGAGGCGTTAATGAAAGAGAAACCAACCTTTAGTCAATTTACGGCTCGAGCACTTATCTTCGAAGCATTTTTAGCAGCGAGTGCCGATAACGAGTTACATCAGGATGAACGAAATGCCATCTGTCAACTTGGTAAAGTGATGGGTATAGATGATGCAATCATGAAGCAGATTGAACAAGCGTTCGTCAACGAAAAGAAACACCGAGATCAAGTGGTTACACTTATGTTTCCTCAAGGTCTGAAAAAGACGATTCAAATAGTGGAAGTTGATTTTAAGGAAATTTAAGAACAAATTTATTTTTAACATTTAACGCAAGCGTTCTCAAAAAAAAAACTTTCAAATTAACTACGTAGATATTAGATGTACTCATCTTGATTTACTAACCAATTTAGTTTTATTTTAACTGAAAATATACTAGCATAGATCGAAGATTTGTCCGTTATATTCAGAATATAATATTAAATATATAACCTATGAATTATGATGAAAATCAAAAGAATCTGTCATCTTGATATATTATATAAAAGTGAAAAATACTAAAACATCATGTATCTTTTTATATATCACATATGATAAAATCTTGAATTTCTTTCCAAAAAGATACGTCATAAAAAGATTGCAAAACCCCATATTTCGATACTTCGCTTTCTTTTAACTCTTTGTTTCTTTTTTAAAGAAACCATGTTGTTTTGGAAAAATTTAAATTCTTTACCTATCAAACTGCCATATATATTGTTTCGATTATTAATTCTGATATTAGTCGATATTAAACTCATCCAAAGTTCATATTTTCATCCAGTCCGTTATACATCATTAGTTACTCAAAAAGAGAAATGTACTATTTAAATATCATCCATGTCTATTTGTTACCGAGTGATATAGTTTTTGCTTGCTTTTGCACATGGTATACATTTTTCTTTGTGTAGACACCAAACGAAGAAATATACAGAAGGAAAGGCAAAAAATCTAACATCAACAGATATTTGTTTGATCAATTTGAGAAAATAAAATAAATTTATTGTCAAATATATTGAGATAGCACTTTTAACAAGTTCACATACAAAAAAAGTAATCAGTTTCATAAAATATGACTTCTTTCTCATATAATACGTTTTCTGTGAATGAGAGAGAAATGCTAGTAAAAAATTGCCTCGTAGACTTCTTTTATTTCGAACAAAATTAAATCCTATTTCATATACATTTTTGCTCTATTTTCTGTTTAGCATACGAGAGCATAAAATGGAAATACTTCATCCTTTTTCTTCTTTTCTCTCATTACGACCTATCGTATGAAGTTTGTTTATCATATAAAAAAAGTACGATCCGTGCCGTACGCAAACGTTCGAAGTCTTTTTTTTTGCATCGTCATACACCTTTTTTCTTCTTCTTTCCTCTTCGTTTTAAAGGTGTGTGCCGTAGTATAAAAACGTGCTGCATTTAGAATAATAAATATTCAAATTATAACATATACTTACCATTAGCAATGACAAATACTTTACATCGTTTAAATTCTTCAACAAGTGAAGCAAATTTTAAATTATCATGTGATGTTGTTCATTCTAAAATTATTCGTCATGATCAATCATTGATTGATTCTATTCTTGCACATGACAATCCTCAAGAACCTATTATTACTCTTTCTGATGGTCAAAAATATTTCTGGTATCTTGCTATAGGAAGTATGAATAATCCGATCTCATTATATCTTCGAAATCTTATTCCCATTATATCTTATCCAGCAATATGTCTTAATCATCGTGTTATTTTTCGAGGAGTAGGTGGTATGGCTGATATAGAATCGTGTGAGGGAAGTGAATTCGATGGAGTTGTTCATTTACTTTCTGAAGAACAAATGAATCGTTTAGATAAAATGGAAATGAGTTATGAACGAATTATAGTTCCAGTTGTCAATTATCAAAATCAATCTCATTCTGCTTATGCATATAAAATGACTATAGCTAGTCATCCAGATAATCTTCCAAGTGAACGTTATCTTGATATTATTGTAAAAGGATGTGAATATTATGGTATTCGTCCGGATTATATCAAACGATTACGGGAAGAACAAGCAGTTACACCTCGAAAAGAACCTCATACGTATCAATCTATTAATGATGTACCATCTGATGTATTCTATACAACTGATGATCTTGCAAAACATAATGGAAGTGATCCTAATTATCCAATTTGGATTTGTATTAATGGAAAAATTTTAGAACATGTTGGATTACCACCTAGCGATAGTCCTGAGTATGAAGCACAAAAACAATTTCATACAATTATACAATCACGATTTGCTGGACGTGAAGCTGATTTCGAAATTGCTAAAGCTATATATGAACCATTGCATAAATTACCATTAAATGAAGAAGATTTGACTGATGAACATCGAGCAATGCTTGAAGATCATCATCTTTCAATGCGATCTCGAAATGATCAAAATAATAAATATTGGAAACCAATTGGACGACTTCGCCGATCAAATAAAATTACAAACTCATCTTTATAACTTTGTAATAAAATATACTGTCTTAGAAATATTTTTTTATTTCATAAAAGAGCAAAACAAATTTCATACTCTTCAGTTCAGTAAAAAGGTCGAGAACATGACTTAAGATGTAAATAAGGTGTGGCTGTTTTATTAATTAACATAGAAATAGGCGAATCAATTTTTCAAGCTGTTTTGTCAACATGAATCGTTTTTGACATCTTTGATGATGCCAATGGCTATTATTTTATTTTTGTCACGTATGATGAAATTACCCAACGATGGATAATCATCAAACTTTTCAAAGTAGACAGATTCCAATGGAATCATTTTTACTGTAGAAAGATCACGTGATTTGATCCATTGTGGATATATTTGAATTGCTTCATTTATTTGATGATCGATTTTATCGATTAATTCAATAATTTGACATGTAACACGTGCCGTATAACAGTAGATTATAAGATGATCACCTTGTTTAAGTTGACCTGAATTATTGAGCATGAAAATCTGAGAAAATATAAAAGCAAACAAAACAATTATGTATTTTGTCGTGAAAAAATAGCAGTTAAATTTTAGCTGAGCAATGAAGCTTGTGGTCAAGCGAGGTGGATCATTCTGCCTATCGGAACAGACGAGACCACGTCGTAATCCTTCCGTATGAAAGTTATTGATATTGAAAGCAATAATAGTACCCGGAAAAGCCTCTACAAGTATTCATGAAATTAATTCATTTGAATGAACATTTAGTTACCTATGAGAGTTTCGTAGTTCTTTTCAATCGATTGAACAGTAGCCGTGATATTCAGTGGAGGGAAGCTTACAGTCATATTCGTCTTTAATACACCAGTTTCGATTCGACCCATGACTATTGTTCCGATGTCACGTACTTTATAGACATCTTGTAATGGTAAGCGGAGGGGCTTATCAATAAGCTTTTGACACTGAACAATTGTATTAAGAATTTCTAGAAAAGTTTTGCAAATAACACTGTCTACTTGACGTTCTATGATTGAGCCAGTGAACCAAACCATTTTGTTCGATGCTGTAATCAAATTGTCTCCATTCCAAGCAGAAATGGGGATGAACGCGATGTTCTTCAATGGATAACCAATTTTTTTCAAATAGGTGGATACTTCGAATTGGATTTGATTGAAACGATTTCTGGAGTAGCAAACATTATCAGCATCCATCTTATTCACAGCGATAATCATTTGCTTGGCACCTAATATGTAGGCAAATAAAATTTGTTGACGTATTTGACCGTTCTCTGACATGGAAGTCTCAAATTCGTCAATACATGCTGACACCACTAATACCACGCAATCGGCCTAATAATACATTAGTTCATTAGAAATGATCTTTATAATACTTAGAAAATCATATTAGAAAAGCAAAAGTATTTTAAAAAATACGTTGAACTTCACATACTGTGATACAATTCAATGCACTATTTCTAATATTATCAAATGACTTTATTAGCTTAAACTAGTTTACAATATAAGCACGAAATCAATACAGATCTTAACTTACTTGCACTATATACTTGACCATGTTGAACACATCGCGATAATCTGGAGTGTCGATGGCAGTAATCTTATACTTGCTACTTTCGAATCTATTTAACTCTAAATCGTCGATGACAATATTTGATTGTGAGATATAATATTTTAATAATTCTAAAGCATATTTGAATGGAGGCCGATCTTTCTATCAGATAACAAAATATTGCATGAAGCTAGATAGATATAATTAGAATGATTTACCGTAATTGTGGATGATTTTTCGCATCTCTCAATGGTTCGCTTGTCAACACCACCACATTTATAAATCAGTTGTTCAATCAGAGTTGTCTTACCTGAGTTAGCGTCACCAATAATGATGATATCAATACGACTTTTCTCTTTATTCATCAATGAAAGAATGATGAAGAGAAATATATATGCAAATTGTGTAATACAATTTCATCAGTCTTACACAATAACCATTTACGATGATGAAATTATCAGTTCTTTGATGACTAACTATACTTTATATGTTTATGAATAGCTATGAAAGAATGAATAGTTTAAAATATATTTTATAATATTTCTTTGTTATCGTTGCTTCACTAGAAAAAAATAATGTCTTTGTTCTGGGTTAGAAAATATGGATATAGTAATTCCGAGTATAGTCTTTTAGAGCAGAATGTAATATATAATGGTTCTTGTCAATTTCAACGATTGTTACATTGAAAATAAATAGTAAAAGTATTCTGAATTCTGTAATGATATACAGAAAAATACACAAGTGTTGTTTACTGAACATATATATATAAATTAATTTGTAAAAGTTCTTTCATTTTGCGTTCTTTCTTTTTATAATATTCGGTGAATACTTGAAACACAATCTAATCAAAAGAAGCTATTACATGTAAACAGAAATGCTATTCACTTGTAGTCAAGTATTTTTTATTGTTTTTCTCCTGCTCGTTTTTCATATAGTATAATCATAAACGCACGTTGCTCGTCAAATGTTTAACAAACAATATACGGCATTTATGTTTTGTATTCATTTAATATTAAACTAGAGAACTGAGAAAAAAAGAAAAAAAAACATAATATCAAAAGTTATTTTAATAAACTTGGAAAAACGTTTAAAGCGTAAGGCAGTGAAAACATGTTTTGGATATTTTTTATTATATTGATACTTTCTCCTTATGATTGTATTGTTATCAGAAAAATAGAGAATAACATAGTGATTGGTAACGTATATAAATTATTATGGAATGTAACTCAAAATCTTTGTATATGTGAAATGATAACATCAAATGAAACAATATTTGCATTGAATTATTTTGCGGTAAATCAAACTTGCCAATTATTCTATACAAATATTAGTTCGATCTTAATTCAATTTAATTTCAATGCTACTTTGATATTTATTAACCAATCAATACTATCAATAAAATATAGTAAGTTTATTATAATTACTGTAAATATATCATTGTTTCATAGATGTCATAATACCATTACCCCGGGTATCGACAGTCAGACGGCAGGATATCCTAACATGAGGTCAAGGAAAGTAAATTAACATTCACTCCACATATTATACCAAGGAGTAATGACTTCATTACCCCACTAAAAAATACATTCATTATACAAGTTGAGGAATATGAGTGGATTTGGGGTAACGAGGTGGTTACTCCAAATCAACTAATCTTCCTCAGCTTTTCACATATACTTCATTTGGGGTAACGAGGTGGTTACACCAAATCAACTCATATTCCTCAGCTTTTCACACATACTTCATTTGGGTAACGAGGTGGTTGCACGATACCCTAGCGGGGTAACTTTGTAAGCGACGTGTTTGTAGTGGAATACCCGGTGTAATGGGATTATGACATCACTCCATTGTTTTGTCTTACAATGAGTTTTGGTATTACATAGATTTTTCATTCACACACCCTATAGAAAAACGAAGATTTGTCAGCTATTTGAACTTATATAGGTTTATCGTAATGTATTAATAACCAAACGTATTGCAAGTAGAAGAAAACATGCATAATTTTGTGCAAATCTTTGTCTGATCTTTTCGGCTTCGTTTTAATCTCATTCTTTCAATATAGATCAAATCACGTATACATCGCAAACAGCCGTATCAACATCTTCGACGCCATTGTTATCATCAACAGCATCATCGACGACAGCACCCGTAGCAACAGGTCAGTAATATACTAGTTGATACATAGTTGCCTAAGCAATGCATACTTCAGATGGCTAGATCTAGAATTTTTGGATTTATCTATCAAATATTCTTTATTGAGTTAAGTAATATCAGAGAACACTTTGTATGAAGCATCTTGAGGAGTGTGGGTGTGGGTGTGAGGGTGGAACCTAGTAGAATTTTTCATACCTTAAAATAAATATAAGAAGAATATATATGTTAGCGTCCAAACAGAGATGAGCATATGAGTGTATCTTATTTATCTCACCTACACTCTCAAAGAAAGGTGTCTTTTCGATCAAGTCTGTAGTCGAAATGTTAAATGAAGAGCGTATAAATTGTTAGTACGATCTCAACATTGAAGATTATTCAAACCGAGATCATATCTTAAAGAGTAAATAACATATACATATAAAGCTTTGTACTTGATAGCCTGCAGCAACATGTTTCTCAATCAAACAACATACTCTACTAGCAATGGTCCAGCTGCAGTAGTACTATTCGATGTAAATAACGATAGCAACCTCGATATTGCTGTTGCAAACTACAATTCAAACAATCTCGGAATTCTCCGTAATGCAGGAAATGGCACATTCTTGACTCAAGTTACTTATTCAACAAGTGTTAATCCAGCAGCAGTTGCAACAGGCGATTTAAATAGTGACAACAAACTCGATATCGTTGTCGCTAACTATGGTTCTAAAAACATTGGTGTTTTCTTGAACGCAGGTAATGGCATATTTCTTTCCCAAATTGCTTATGCAGTTGGCAATAATCCACGAGAAGTAAAAATAGTCGATGTGAATAATGACAATAAACTCGATATAATTGTCGCAAACCAAGGTTCAAATACTGTCGGTGTTCTTCTTAACACAGGCAACGGTACTTTTCTCAATCAAATGATTTACTCGGTTGGTAGTAGCCCATATTTCTTAGCAATAGCTGATGTAAATGGCGACAATACACTTGATATTATTGTCGCAAATCAAGGTTCGAACAACGTCGGCATTCTTATCAATACCGGTAATGGCACATTTACTTCTCAAGTTACTTACTCAGTTGGTACGTTCCCAACACCAATTGTAGCAGCGGATGTAAATAGTGATAACAAATGCGATATTATTGTTGGAAATTTTAATTCGAACAACGTTGGAGTTCTCCTCAATGCTGGAAATGGCACATTTTTCACTCAAATTACTTACGCAACTAGTTCCAATCCACGAGCAGTGGTAGTAAACGATGTGAATAACGATAATAAACTCGATATAATTGTTGCAAACTCCAACGCTACCAACATCGGCGTTCTGATCAATGCAGGCAATGGTACCTTTCTCAGTCAGACTACTTACGCATCTGGTAGTACTCCAATATCAGTTGCAATAGGTGATGTAAATAACGATAACCAACTCGATATTGTTGTCGCAAACTATGGTTCCGCTAATGTTAGTGTTCTTTTACATTGCTAAAACTTTTTCATTATCATAGGACGAATATCATTCTAATACAAATAATTAATTATATTCACTTTTTATCAAAAATCTTAATAAAATCTCAACAGATCAGCAAGCATGTCTTAAAAAATATGAGGATGTGGGTGAGGGCCTTATCAACGTCTTCATCATTCTACATCCATATCGTAACTTATAAAGGATATCATTGCTAAGCCTATGGAACGTATTCGATATCAAAAAGATTAAAATAACGGATAAACAACTCGCTACTAAAACTTGTTTTTTCCGAGATTCATTAAAAGAATGTAGATGATGATATTGGTGAGAACGTGCAGAAGTATCACGAGAAAATACTTACAAGATTCCATAAGGAATTACCCTATATATTTTCTTTTCGTTCTTTACATACATATATATAACAATTCTTGTTTTTACGATTTAGAATAGTCCTAGATAATTCTACTCAATAAACAACATATCTTAAGTCTTTTCATATAAAAATAAATATTATGAAATGAAGAATTATTTTTTGAAATGTTGATGAAAAATAAAACAATTTCATTTTAATTTAAAAAAATCATAAATTCAATATAAAAACTATCAAAAGATCAAATACTTGTTTCGAATTAAAATTCTAGTTTGTATTAATCGTAATAGATATATAACATTTGCTTTTTGTTAAAAAGAAAAAAAACGATTGGATAAAATAATGCTATTTTCTATCAAATAATAAATTCGTTTATTATTCAACTAATATTAAAAACACATCTAGCAACATCAAGAAAAGAAATTTATCAATTAAATTCAATATTTATTCGATTAGAAGATGATAGAGAAAAAACAAATTGGAAATTTTAAAGAAAATAATAATAATTTAGAGGAATTAATTGATCTTCTTCGATATATTCGTTATTTTCAAACACCTTTTATATATTGATTTATTACATATGATATTGATATTGCTTTAAAAGATATTTTAAGTTCAATTATTAATCTTACAAAAGATCTTGAGGGTGTGCATGTGGCTGTGCCTTTGAGTCTCTAATTCTTTTATAGACACACCACCATTCACACCCACACCTAGCAGTGGGCCATTGGAGAAGCCGATCGAAAAATTATTCCACTTTGAGAAGAAATGCTTCAACTCAACAAAAGCAATACATTAACGAGAAATAGACCGCAAAAACCATATCTATTTAATACCTTATTCGATAACATACGGATATTCCATACAAAGAGACATCTTTTTTTTCAACGAGAAATGGTACAAACCTGAAATTATATGCACTTAATATCTATTTCAATACGATATGGATATTTTCATCTAAAGAGAGATCCTTTTTTTGAGTTTCGTTTCTCATTGCGAGTAAAGATATGAATGAATAATTCCACACTATAATTAATTCATCGCTGCTGGTAAAAAACAATCTCTGCTAGAATATCCTCTTAGAATGAAAAAACAAAATGATCAATATCTCTTTTTGTTTCTTTCATTTCTTCTTATGAGTGGAGATATGAATGAATCATTTCACACTATAATTAATTCATCGCTGCTGGTAAAAAACAATCTCTGCCAGAATATCGACTTAGAGTGAAAAAATAAAATGATCAATATCTCTTTTTGTTTCTTTCATATCTCCCCATGAGCGGAGATATGGATCAACGTTTGGACTTCGAATTGTTCCGACTTCGATCGGAAAAAGATATCTGTTAACTTTGTGAGGGTAAAGGATTTTTCCTTGAAGCGGAACAGCTTCTCTCAGTTGTGGGATATGGTCCATCCCTCATGACACCTCGTTTGTGCCTCCTTTCTATGTTCTTGAGAATTGGACAAAGATCCTTCAAGGATTCGTTGTGTTTTTTATTGCAGGAAATGAGCAAGACATATAGGCATTTTCTGGGAATACAACTTAATCTCGTTCCTGCATTCTGCCTCCTGGAAGAACTGTTTTTTGTTTGTGTTGTTACACTTTTTTCCCAGAAATAACGTGTCCATCATCATAATTATATTCTCCTTTCACAAAAAGAAATTTATTTATTCTCATCATCAGAGGCTTTCCCGGAAAAAAACACTTGTCTATCATCATTCATGCATTCTACCTCCTGAAAAAATTGTTTTTTGTTTGTGTTGTTACACTTTTTTCCCGGAAAAAACTTGTCCATCATCATAATTATATTATGCTAGTTGGAAGAATTTTTTGTATTTATTTCTGCATTCTCCTTCCAACAAAAAATATTATTTATTCCCATCCTCAGACTCTTTCTCGGAAAAGAAACTTGTCTATCATCGTTCTTACATTCTCAATAGCGGAAGGAATATTTTTTGCTGTCATTGTTCCATTTTCTTTTTCAGAAAAAAATTATTGTCGCTTTCGTGCGAAGAGAAGGAAATTATTTCATAACTCAGTAGTAAGCATAGTAAGTGTCGTGTTTATTTTTTTTATCTTTCAGTGGATAGATATAAAGATCAAAGACGAATTCGACTACTTAGCGATTCAGTAGAGTTTCTGAACTAGTCGTGATAATCACGGTGAGCAAAACAGTGTTATCTTCACATATTTTACCTTCAGTATAAAAGAAGTAATCTACTTCACCACATTAAGTACTTTACAAAGTTTAGGATTTAGCGCAAGAAAGAGTGTGAAGATAATAATCTTTTGACTACACCTCGTTAAGTAACGGTGAAAGGAATAATTTTATAATCATAATAAATAATCATAAATAAAACTTTTTAGACTATGATATTAGTTTCAAATTCTAAAAATCACACTAAAACTTTGCAAATATAATCAATAGAAAAGTCAAAAAGTTAGATAATCGAATAGTATTCTTGCACCTTTCTCTTGCGCACGTTACTTTTTCTCATTCATTAAATCTTGATTATGTGTGCCATCAGCTAAAGATTTATTCTTTGAAACCTCTCCTACATGATATTTATTTAGCAAAATCAAGCACTAGTTTAATAGAAAATATAATAGGGGCTTTACTGCACTAATGCTATCAGCTATGATCCATTTATCTGCAACGGTTAAAACGCAGATGAAAGTATGCAAGAAGTTGTATGATATTCGAGACAGTTCTCTTATGCTATTCGATTTAATTAAGACTAAAATACAAGACTGTACTAAATCTAGGCTTCAACCTTAAAAAGGCCTCACAATGTTATAAGGATCATTTACAGATACGTCATTAGAAGTATAGTGAAAACCTCTGTATAGTCTCTAAAAAGTTGTGAGAATCATCCCTAAATATATCCGGGAAACTAAAAGGAGCATTCAGAAGTTGTTTATTAATGCTATTTCATTACTACCAGGAATGATGAAGTCCACCTGAAAATCTTGAATTTTTCTGTCATTTGGTTGGAAAATATTTCTAATTAGTTTCTCATTGATTAATCGATTAAATAAATAATTAGTTAGTTAGTTAGTTTTAATTAAGTAGCAACTGAAAAAAACCGTCCAGAAAAAGAACACCTAAACAATCAACATCAGATGCAGACTTGGTATCTGTCTTTATTCTTGAAATTATTCATATATAAAAGATAGGTAAAATATGGCCTAATGGACTCCAGTTTGTCTGACGCCCATTTTGGGTCATTTCCTACGACCGTACGATAAGTAGTTCTTCGAGCTTCTCAAAAAGTAATCTCTTGTATAAGCAGTTACAATGGGAAAGTAACTATCATCGTTCTGTAGTTTTTGTGACATTCGATTAAAATAGTATATTGAAGTTTAAGAATATAACATTGATATTACATATCTCGTTTCCGCTCACGTGCCAAACATCATCAAGTACTACTAATTAATTCGTACGAAATACTATTTTGTGTTCAATAATATTAATTCGCTTTCCTGTTAGCAGACCTCCGTTCTCCCTAAGTGTTTACAAGAGAACGTCTCCTTGTATCCCAATAGTTCAAAGTATCATGTCAGATTTAATCGTGTATTCGACTTAAGATAGATATTTACTGTACAAGTGTGGTCATGGCCCAAGGATTATCTAATGATTTTCGTGAATTAATCAAACGAAGTACAGAAAGAGTAGCTCTTATATGGTTCCAGTCTTCTTCGATTATCAATGCTGAATTTAAACAAGCGAAAGACCAAATACAAGCTATCTGCAACTGGATATTTGATTATGATAATATTGAAAGAACCGTTACCGATTTGCAACAGATCGATTTTCGAGCGAAGTTTTTTCTCATTACTTCCAACGACGATGCAGTGGAACTCATCCCAAAGATTCACCAGATTCGCCAATTAGATTCGATATTTCTCTTTTCAAACGGTGGCACTCACGACCAACATTTATTGGATCAATTTGATAAAGTTGTGAATGTATTCAGTCGTTGTAATGATCTTGTCACTTCAGTAAAAGAAAATCTTATGGATGTTAAGGAACACATCAAAATCTTTTCTTTCTATGATCAACATCAACGAGCCACACAAGATATATCAACTGAACACGCGAAATTTCTTTGGTAATCTAGTCTGATTAAAAATATCTATTCCCTGTATAATCTCGTTTTTCTTCTAGGTTTCAATTATTCAAGGATGTTATTCTTCATTTACATGATGATGAAGAGGCCAAAGAAGATGAAGAGGCCAAAGAAAATCAAGAGGCCAAAGAAGATGAAGAGTCCAAAAAAAATCAAGAGGCCAAAGAAGAAATGCTCAACGTTTGTCGTCAGTATTATCGAGACAATAAAAAATATCTCAAAGACATTAATAACTTTCAGAAAGATTATAAGCGAAGTGAATGTATCTCTTGGTACACCAGTACCACATTTGTCTATCGAATAATCAATCGAGCTTTGCGAACAGGAAATATCGAGCAATTATACACATTTCGATATTATATTGCTGATCTCTCTAAACAACTTAGAGATGAATATCAAAAGTTTAAACTACGGGACGAAAACATAATTGTACTACATCGTGGAACGATTATGGCGCGGAACGAAGCTGAACAACTCCAGGCAAATAAAGGTCAATTAATTGCCGCGAATACTTATTGGTCAACGAGTCGAAATGAAAATATTGCACGTATATATATTTCTGGTCATCAAAATGATTTAAAACAAGTAGCTGTATTATTTCGAATTGAATGCGATATTCAAGATGAACAAAGTTCGGTGATTTTTGCTGATATCGCCGGTTATAGTGACATTCCTGACGAAGAAGAAGTTCTATTTGACATCGGAGCAGTTTTTCGAATCGAGAGCGTTACCTCAGAAACAATCGATAAGACAGAGGTTGTCGTTGTACAAATGAAAACAACGAACGAAGGCCAAGATGTTCTTGAGGAATATCGAAAACAAAATCAGAAACAAATGGAATCAGAAGGTCGGCCGATCATGTTATGCAGAATTTTGAAACGAATGGGAAAATGTAACCAATCTCGTATGCTTCTTGAACGGCTTCTCGACCATCCGAATGGAGGAAATAAGGTTCATATTTACAATCGTCTTGGTATTACCTATAAAGATGAGCATCAATATGACCGTGCATTGAAGCATTTTGAGGAAGCACTGAAACTAACCGATTTTGCTGATCCATCTCAACGAAAGTATGCCGCTTATATTTTCCATAACAAAGGTTTACTTTGTGCGAAAAGAAGACAACATAATGAAGCACTCGAATTCTATGGGCACGCGATCGAAATGCTGGAAAAGGAGATAAGTCCTCCGAATACTGGCATTGCCCAATTCTTAAATAGCATCGGACGCATTTATTTCCAACAGCGAAAATACCAAAAAGCACTTCAGTATCAACAGGATGCATTACAAATGAGAGAAAAATGTATGTCAGCGGATCATCTTGTTCTCACGTTCAGTTATGCAGATATTGGCAATATTTACCAACGTCTACATAATTATGAGCAGGCATTGCACTATCATAAGAAAGCCTTAGACCTTCGACAGAGATATTTACTACCGAATCATCACAATACAGCATATAGCCTTCGTGACGTTGGCAAAATTTATTTCGAAATGGGTAAGCACGAGCAAGCGCGCCAATATTATTTCGACTCACTGGAAATAATAGAAAAATGGTTGTCGGCCTCTTTCAAAAATTCTATGCCATCCATTCTGGAAGCTATTGCTAAGACCTACGATGGCTCTATGCCTGAAGAGGCACTTATATATCGATTGAAAGCATTAGAAATTCAAAAAAGCATTCAATCTGTTGATTATGTGGCTGTTAATCAACAACTCGATTATCTTAGTTTGATGTGCAAATCAAAGGAAAATTTGAACGATGCACCTATGTATCATGAAGAAGCTTTTGACATTCAAGCAAGGCATTTATCTAAGAATCCATCGTATATGCCGTGGAAATGTAAGTTAGCATGCCAATAGAAAGCTACATGTAGAGTTGGGATTTGTAACGATACATCTGTGAGGAGTTACGGTAGAAGTGGGTGAGTGAGTAGATTATCAGTAATGATTACGTATACAGAGGAATAAAAATGAATGTAGAACAGCTAAAAATAAAGCTAAACTAGACGAAACTGGCATAATAATGAAATGCTGTATACGAAAAAAGATGACAAATGAAATTGAAAGTCGTGAAGTTGTTAGGTAAAAAGCTGAAAAAGTATTTAATCAGAAGGCCAGAAATTTGGATTAAAAGCCAGAAACAGCAAAATTTTACAATATTTTCTAGTTTTACTTCGTCGAGAGAGAACAAACTTTTTGTATTTTAATAGTTTTTTCCTGAAAGTGTTATTAGTTTTGATGTAATTCTATACTTACGAGCTTTTCAGGATTGAGTTAAGCGAGACCCAATGGTCTGATGTGTTACTTGTAGCTAAAGAGTAGTTATTGTGTACCATATTCGCTTGTCTTTGAAATAGTCTTCCTCGTATAACAGTTCAACATAGAATAAAGTTTGACGACACACTAAGGAAAAGGAAGTTTCAAACTGTTCCATATTATAAACTGGATCATTTCAAAAGAAAACCTGTCAAAATTCATAATGACTGCCTAAGAGACTGATATGCATTGGGAATAGAGTGTAAATCAAACGGTGCGAAGTATTGGGTGAGTGAAGAGAATAACAACACCAGCACCCTTACCCCGCACCCTCAGGTGTCAATTCACGTAAATAGTTTTAATGACGATGAATATAATGAAATATCTGTACATTTTCTTTTAGTTCCATTCAGTTCGGTGCAAATCATCCTAATCGACGTGTTCACACGGCTGAATAATTTGGCTTTTCGGATGCTAGAATTCTTATTTACTTTGATGGATGAATCGATTACTATTGAAAAAGATCAAAAAGAGATTGATTATGAGAAGTTTCCCAACAAAAATATTTTACTCTTTGTCAGTTCTCAAATTGCCAACGAGATGAACATGATGTCTGCCCAGGTCAAAAAGATATTCATTTTGGGAAAAGACCCAAACAAAGTTAATCAAGAATTTCGTTTTGCTACTGGTGAAGATTTGATCTATCAGTTGGCGGATGAAGTGTATCGGATTTATACAGAAGAAGGGAACAAACATTCGAAATCAGGTAATTCGTCATTGGCCCAAATGAATTATGCGCAAGCGGATCGAATTCATCCTGAATTGAAGAAAATACATCGAACATATTTCATGAAGTACACTGCCAACGAACTACCAGTGATAGTCGAAACCAATATTGTCTGGCTTTATCGAACAACTATCAATGGGGATGCGATCGAACAGATTCGAAAGAAATTCGAGAAGATTATATCATCTTTTGATGTCGTAACAACACAATCAGCTTGTGATAAATATTTGTCCTTGCATGAATATGTTGCTTCCAACTTTCTGATCATTACAGCTGCTGAACCGAAAGACAATCTCAACGCTTACAAAGAATATTCCAATATCAAGCGTGTTTATCGATACAATCCAGACATCCCTTCAACAGACGACCACGAAGTTATCACCAATGCTTCTAATCTTTGTCGAGAAGTGACCCGCGATTTGATCATTCATTATAACATTTTAGGGACGCAGTTCAGTGCGAAGAAAAATCCTCAGTTAGCAAAAAAGATGTTTATGAAAGCACATCAACTTTGTCTTTTTCTCTCAGAATTATCGTGTTAAAAAAATGAAAGTCTTTGCTTCTTCTATATTTTCAGATGCAAACTATTGATAATATTCGATTTAATCATTCGATCTATTTACCAGGTGATAATTGGATAACATTACTTCACGATATATCTGGAGTGCATATTCCTATCATGCTACCCAATGCCCACCTGATAACTTTTGTTGAAGCTTTTCGATCGACAGCAACATGCAGTCAACGGATACAGAACAATACCAACAAAAACGTAACGTTATTTGCTTACGAGGACAATCTGAATTGGTTAATTGCAAACGGTTCTGCTAATCGTCTGCCTCATTTGCATAAAGTACATATTTTTTGTTCATCCACTGATAAACAACAGTTTTGGAAGTCATGGATGCAGCGTTATCGTGATCGTTTTGAAGAGCCTTTTCTTGCCAATGATCTCGATTATCAATTATTATTAATAGGCGATAGACATATCGATATTCTGAAACAGCAATTCATCGATGTGGAAAGTGTGCAGAATCATCTTATTCAAGATCAACGAGCCATCTGCCAAGCGTTAGCTACTCATTTCCTGAATAAAGTCAATGCTGAAGACGAACGTATTCGATTTAGTGAAGAAGCCCGAGAATAGCTCATAAAAACTTTTATCTCTTATTTATTGACACTAGTACTGTCGACCTGGCTCATTTTTGACTAATATTCAAAAGAGTGGGTGTGGTTGCGGCTGGGTGTAAGTGTGCGTACTGGCGTGGGTGTGAGTGTGGATGTGTGGGTGTGACGAAATAAAAGAGAAACACCCATACCCACAACTCTTTATTGATTTTCTCAAATAATCCTTTTGTAGAAAAAAGAGAACAAGTTGAATACAATATGTTTATGAGTAACACAGGTAAGGGTTATCTTTGCTTTAATTTTATAATCAAAACCATATGACGAGTCCATTGCCCTCTTCTTCAACAACGACGTATGGTTGTTCATTTAATGGTAAAGCAAGAATATGTTGTCTTAGTTGTTCGATGAATAGAGTGCTTCGTGTATACCGTGTCAATGTCATAATTAATTCCGAAATCAATACGTCGAAAGCAAAAACAGAAGTCAGAGACCATTGATACTGTCTCTGAAATGATTTGACAACTTGTATCATCTGGTGGAACACGCATGTCATACAAAAGTACACGTAAAGAGATTAAGAGCGGTAACGTAGAAATCGTACGCAAAGCAGCCCAATCATTGTTTGCAAAACAAGGACTATGATAATGAAGAGTAATTTGAATAGATTGGATATTGGTTAAACGTAAACAACTATTCAATGAATCCAGACTATCTGTAAGAATAAGACGCGCAACATGAGTTGGTAAATTCACCGAAATTTGTCTATCACATCTCAATAAATGGAGTTCAACTATTCGATTCAATGACATTATATGCGGCAGATATGTAACCAACGATGGAATATTGTCTGTCATTTTCAATTGAATCAAATGAGACGAATCATTGTAATTAACTAAAGAATACAATGGAAAAACCTGCAAATTACTCATAAATTCGTCTGGAACACATAACTGAACAAATTCATTGAACATATATGGCAAAGTGTAAAATATATGTTGTCGATTTTTGGATTTCGCCGACTAGAAATAAAAAAATGACTTTAAAGTAATCTATAATTTTTATCAAACAAGAACTAACATAAGTTACTTCATCTGATCTTATGAGCAATTGATTACGAGGCCAAGATTCAGAAATAAATGTTGCACTGATCATTTTACGGCGATGAGATCGACAATGATGTTGTAGATCATCATTAATCATATATATATAATGAACATCAACATTCCGATAATCAGTCAAGAGTGCCGAGCGCTAGATTCCATGAAGATCATTCGTATCGATCACAATACAAAAATTCATTCGTCGTAACATAGGCATAATATTACAAGAAGTCAACGTATCAATCAGTGTCCACTCTTTACTAAAGTGCCAATTAAATGATTTGACAAAAGTAAAAGTGTGCAACACTTCCATTTGTGGCCAAACGTGTGCGGATGGTAATGTAGGATGTGGATTAGTGGCTTCATCAGTTAGTCTGACATGTAATTGTTGTAATGTACGTGATAATGGTTGAGTGATCATCAGATGGAATAGAACCAATGGCGTAATTAATGTAATACGGAGATAAGTAAGATGAGTCTGAATTGTTCTGATAGGCCAATGATGTAAGTGAATTGTTTCATCTATTCCAAAATCAAGCGATTGGAGCGCAGGCAAATGGTGTGTAACATTTTGTAGGAAATCGTATAAATTCCATGATGGATAACAATTTTCCTTCACTATCCCATGCTTGTTATATGAAAAGAAAACATATATATATATAAATGTGTATAAAATGACACCACACGCATACTTCTATCGCTTATTTTTTCATCGCATTAACTGTAGAAAATTCATCTATGAATAATCGTGCAAACTTTATATTCAATAGTCAAAATCGTCACATATTCTGTTACATTATAACACAGAAATTAATTATATATCTAATTAGTGTTTGAATGTGATATACTAAAAAGACATTCGTTTTTTCGATTACTGTTGATTCATCATCTTCAACTCATTTTCTTGCAAAATGTATCAAGAAAATAATCGTCTTTAAGAAATAAAATATTTCTGTCAGAACAGAATATCACATCTCATCGATCTCTTAAAAAATATTATAAAACTTAAAAGAAACATAAGCATAACATCTATTAACTAGCTGTTTAAGATTCTCTTAATCGCAATGATATTATATGTGACCATACTTACCGTAGAAAAATATTCGCTTGATTGAGCCGTTAGATGCTTTAATGTGTTGGCATATTGTTTTACGAAATTGAAAACATCAATCCATTCGCGTACACCCTTTACAATTAATGTTCTCAAGTATGGTAAATGAGGCCATCGTTTTAATTGAAGGGGGTGATGAAGAATAGTCTATGACAAGTGACTCAATTTCATTTAATCGAAATAAAGATAGAGCTGATTGAAATCGATGATATCGTATACATGACAAATTAACATGAGAATAAAAATGTCGTTCAGTTAATAATGTTGTTAGACGAGCATTGATGTTTTTTTTTTTTTTTTTTTTTTTTGATTATGCGGTATTTATTTCGTTCCGTCCAGGATATTTTTGTCATTTTTGTTAGTACAAGTACAATTTTAGAGGACGCTTACGAAAAGACAATGATGATAACACAGTGAAGAAAGGAGTTACAAAGAGGAGAAAACAAACAAACTGGCGAGGTCGTATATAACCATGTCCACGTGATTCTTTGTTTATTCTTCGTACGAACTGTATATTTCTTCTTCCTTCCATTCTTCGATCATCACCATCACCCGACGAGCCAAGGGAAGGTATCGAACCTTCTGATATCTGACTTAACAGTCAGACGCATAGACCACTATGCCATCCTCGACAGCATTGATGTTGGTGAAAGCCAATACAACATCAACACAAGACAGATAAGAAAATATTTTGATCAATGATAGATCGGCCAAATCATCAAAATAGCTTACCATTTTTGTCTATTGATAATAACAATGATGACGTAGCTTTTTTATACTTGTTTTATCAAATAACATAATAGACGGTTGTTTTTCCTTTCTTTTTTTCCCTCTCTTTGTTCAATATGAACTGCCGTTGTTACTTGGAATCATCAATCAAATTTCTCAATATAGTTTGATTTTTATGACATGTCTGACCTCTATGTCCAATTTCTATCGATGATAAATTAATTATCAGAGCTTGATTTGTTAAAAAATCGTATACTGAATTCAAATCTTCATTACCTGTGAAGAGTTTAAAAAACGCTTGGATAGATAAGAACAGATGGGTGTAAGTATTATTTCTATGCTCGATATCCATATATACATCCTAATACTGAAACTTAGTTGTATATTGACTATGATTTGTATTGTGCACACACAATACTCTTTAGCTGAGAATGTGAGTGTTGAAGGTACATACTAAATAAACATTCACATGTTAATCAACATTATATTATAAATAAAAATCTAGGAATAATATTAATGATCTATATTATTTATTCTTACTTAAAATAAAGATTAGTTGCGCTTATAAAAAACGTGATCAGTTACATTGATGATTTCGTTCTTTTTTTGGTAATAGCGAATACAATTTTACAATGTTTAATTTCAAAAGAAGGATCAAAGTAAGACGTTGAAGAATCTCTCATTTGTTCTCTGCACAATTGCATATTTCACTATAAATATGATCATCAGATTTGCAATGACAAGAACCAACACACTCACAATAACAAGTGCAAGTGGCACCAGCACGCCTGGCATTACTATTCCAATCGCAACACTTGTTGCATATTGTATATATGAACAAGTATATGTTGTTTATATTTTTTATTCTGAATAAAAAGAAACAAACTACAGCAGTACTTAATTGATACTCGATATATATATTTATCAAAACTAAATGAAAATTTAAATGTTTTAAATCTTCAATTGCAAAGTTACTGAGTAGAAACATATACCTGGTCATTATTTTGTCTGTATAGTAATTTGTAGTCATATATACAGAAATATGTCTAGTATAGTATCGATCTAATCCGTATAACGTGTCTCACTTTTATACAATAAGTGTAAATAAGTATTGTTTATATTAACGAGTATAGTATATTCTAAGATGTTTTATAGCAAAACAGACTCAAATGCTCAAAAAATCCTATTATGAAAAAGAAATAGGCCGACAGAATCGAACATTTAACTTATCTGTAGTGTTTCAAACATAAAAAAATTGGCATCGTTACAGATCTATGTATGAAAAGAAAAATCTTCTAATGAACTAACCATTTGCTTGTTGTTGATGAGATTGTTTTAGTGGATAAGAAGGATTTTCTTTGGTATAGATAAGAGTATTCCATTGTATTTGATCAGTAAATATATGAAGCATATCATTTAAATTTTGTTAAAAAAGAAAATATTTCATCATATTTATTTTCTTTCAATAATATCAATATCTTTTCGTAATTTTCCTTACTCAAAACAAACAAATATAATCAATCTAATACACTCGTAATGCAAGAAAAAACACACATACGTAATAAATAATATATACAAGACTCAAATAAGATTTCGATAAATCATATGACTTTTTTTATTTTGTAAAAAAGCATGTTTTTCCCAATACAGATGATATAGGGTGTGGATGTGGATATTATACTGTTTAACCATCCACACCCACACCCTTTCAATAGACGACTATTCATCAGTGTAAGTTTGCGAATTTTTGTTCCGTGAACTGGCAATACTTCGTTTATAAGTCGTTTTACTAATTTCATGGAATACTGACGACTTAAGTCGACTTCTTGGACATATGGATCAATGAGTTGTTCAAATCTTGAGTTCAGATTGGTAAAAGATTGAATGATATCAAGTTGATGAATATGTCGAAATACGAGTAACTAGATTTCATCAGGCAGGTGCTCCATTGGATGTTTATTGAAGATTGAATGAATAAATGTCCGTACAATAGTCAAAAAATGTCTTTATATATATAGGTAAGAAAAGAGAGAATTCACACGTGTAGATTGAAAACTTTCTTGTTTGTATAAGTTACGA